ATGAACAACACTAAAGGAATGTGAAGTATACTGAATGTACTATTTCAGCAGACATCTCAAATAAAATTCCATAGGCCAGCTTTTCCACTGGAAGGAAAGAAAGATTTTTCTGAAGGAAAATAGTACTTCATGAAAGAACCTTTGCCCAGATAACTTAAAGGATGCCGTCACCTGTCTCAGTAACAGACTGATAAAAGTTACTCCAGCAGTTGCAACCCATAAAAATACTTCAAAAATAATAACCAGACTTTTAAAAATAATAACCCCACGCTAAATGTTGTAAACTCTTCATAATTTTTCCTGGGTCAGCTTTGCTGTACGGAGAAGAATCATAATGTTCTTTGCTGGTTTTGAGATTTTAAAAAACTTTTCAGGAAGAAAGGAGGTGGGTAGGACTGCCTAACTATTGAGGCTTAGAATTTGCTTGAAGTAATATGTCACTCATCATTAAAACCACAAAATCACAGAATAACTTAGATTGGAAGGGATTGCTGCAGAGCCCAATGCCCTCCCAAGAGCAGGACATCAACTTGTCCCAAGGTCAGGCTCTCTCCAAGAGAGAGAGCCTCTCTGGGCACCCATTCCAATGTTTGGCCACACTTACAGTGAAAAAAAAATTTACTAATATCTAATCAGCATTTCCTACGATCCAATTTGTGTCTGTTGTCACTTTTGCTGTCACTGTACGCTTCTGAAAACGGCCTGGCTCTGTCTTCTCTGCACCCTCCCACTAGGTGGGTTGTGAGAGCAGTAAGATCCCCTCTGAGCTGCCCCTTCTGCAGGCTGAAGGAAATCTCTCCCTGTCCATCATGTGCACCGGTCCCTGATCATCCTGGTTGCCCTCCACTGGACCCACTACAGTATGTCAGTGTCCTTATACTGGATAGTCTAAAACTCACAAATAACAAGTAAAGACTGTTATTTTCTATACCGTACATCTCCTGCATATGCATACATATATAAACAGAGAGAGGGAGAGAAGAAAGGCAAAAATGCTTTGCATTCCAAAGCAGTATTGTCTTTTGATTAGTCTTTCATTTTTAAGTTCTTGTTACTTCCATTCAAATATTTTCACTGTAAATTTCAATTTAATTACATTTAATTTTCAGTCAAATAATTGATTCTATCTGAGGGGAAAAAAAGTCAATATGGGTCTTAAACTGCAGGCACATTTAATTCTGGAGGAAAAATCATACACACTGTAGTTGATTTTCCCGGTTGAAGGCAGAAAGGTAGAAGCCAACCTCTGAAAATGCCCAAATTATTTAAAAAACCATTAAATGTTTGGGAAATTAGCATTAACCACACCATTATTCCACAACACACACAGTGAATGTTCATAGAGTCACCACACATAACAAACGAAACCAAAAAACCACCAAAGTTCACTAATGTGGGCTGGCAGTGACAAGCCAGAGCATTCCCCTGCAGAGAGAAGGCCCTTTCTGAAGTTTACTTCCTCCTAAGATAGGATGGCTTCTCGCCTCTGCAGGCTGCAGATGAGGTCTGTCCAAAGACATTGCTTCCAATTTTGTGGTTAATAGACTTCCAAGAATTATTACCCCAACTATGAGGGGGAACTCTTTTCTTAAGTGATATAAATTACCTTGTGCAAAAAGTGGTGAGGACAGTCTTATTCTGGTCCAGGATGGGCTTATTTCAGTTTGTGTTACATCAACTGCTTTAACCAAATGGAGACCAAGCCATTTCTAACCCAAATAAAGTGTCTTTGTAGAGGTTTACAACTGCATAACCTAAGCAGAGCAGTTTGGGATGGAGATCATACAGCGGGCTAAACCTTGTAAAACTTTACATGATCAAATAAAAATATAAATGGGGGGGTGAAGATGTGTGTGGGGTGGCATTATGTGGGAAATCACTATTTTGTTCCCAAAAAGTTTTCCCTATTATCATTCAACAATGGCATTGAATAAGGATACTCTTGACACTTCCTTTTTGAGGAAGTCAAGAAGCTTCCAGAGATTTTATTTGAAGAGAGATATCTGTGTTCTTTTTTATCAACTGTGCATCACTTCCAGTGATTTAAATGGGGCCAGAATAATATTTCAGGTATTTGCAGCAGTGCTTGAGATAGTACTATAAGCTACCTATTTTCTATAGGCAAATTCTGGCTTCTGCATACGTTCATTATTTACTGCCCTAATGCCTTTTTCTGATCACACCAGTAATCTAGCCTCTGTTCATTTGAGAAGGAAAAGACTTCTAAAGCATATTGCACCTTGCCTGGGTACTTATTAATGCCTGTTCTTGTTCAGTGATTATACAAAGATTGTTTGTACAAAGAAGTTGCATTGGCTTGAGTTAAATGGTTTTTTTTAAAAAAAAAAACCCACAATGTATTTAGGTCAGTACAAATTCCTGGTTGGAAACTTTCAGATAATCTTAAATCTTTAGCTATATAAACTTCAAGTGCTTTGCTGAAAAAAGCAGTGTCAACACAAAAACTTGTGATAAAATAACAAAAGTTAATTTTAAGAAACCCAGTTGCATTTCTGAGTAAATCAGGCCTGGCAAATTCCCCCCACCTAGTTTTATTTTCAGAGGAGAGAAGGAAGCATTATATTTGGAAGGAAGCATCTCTTCCCACTACTAAAGTTGTACAGCTGTAACCAATTGCTTCATGAGCATGCAACCTGATTGCTTTGCTTTTGTTTGAGATGGAGTTGAAAGGGACAGCTTCAGCTGTAGGTGAACTAAACTCCTGTTTGCAGAGATTTAGTGATTTTTGCTTCCTGTTTAATGGTTTGGGATCTTGCTGAAGGAATTTTTTAATTACTAAAAGTAAAAAAAAAAGATTCTCAGAGAGACAGTGATTAGGGTGTGTTTCATCTGTATTAGGCAACATATAAAACTAACTCAACAAAACACATTTGCAGCATTTTATACAGATTTGTTAATAATCATGGCTTTTATAAGTTTTACCCCAATGTTTTTTGCTGTATAGAAGCACTGCATCTTTTTTTTTCAAATTCTTCTAGCCTCTGGCATTATTGAGGCCTTCTAATAGGATTATTTCTTGACTCTCCAGCTAGTGCTGTGAGCAGGAGCAATGCACTGTTCTGCAGTCCACAATTACAAACCACGATCCCCTCTCCCTGTTAGGTTACATGGCAGCTTCATCTTTGGAACAACATGCTGCCAGAAAACCCAGGCACTCTGCTAAACAAAAGCAGACCTACCAAAACCCTATCACAAATAATGTAAGTGTACATGTGTGTGTGTGCATATTTTTGCACATTCACTCTCAACCTACTTTAAATTTAGGGATGCCAGAGAATCCTTGTGCTACTTCTGATGAGTCCAAAATAAAAAACAAGGCTTTTGTCTGTCCCTCTGTTAAAGGGATCTGCAAATTGTGTGCTTCTTCGAGTCGAGAGTTTATGGTCCTTAGAGAAGCACTGACAACTACTGTCACTGAGACCCAACACTCCCCCATACACTTCCAGAAGTTAAAATGAGACAAATCTCAAGCATGACAGGCAATTAGAAGTGCTCCCAAAACTTCTATTATTCCAGTGAAAAATGCTGGCAATAAGGATGTGACCCTCTTTCTACTTCTACTCTCCCCCTGCAAATGAACAGCTCTGACAGAATTGAGCAGCATCACTCACAAAGTACGAGGCAGTTTTCTTGCAGTGAAGGATATTCAAACGATGTGGATGAGCAATGCTGGTCTGGACTTACTTAACCTGTCCAGCAAAATCATATCTGCTGATTATGATTATGCAGATGCTGTGGTGACAGCATTAACTTCCCCATTTCTTGAGTGTGAGAAGTCTTGCCTGATGATTCCAGAAATAGATTTAGCCTGAAACTTTCTATGAAATAGACCTCTCACCTGAAAATAACCTGCACAAGCACAAGTCTACCTTGTGAAATGAAGAGAAGCACTGGAAACATGCTTAAATCAATAATGTTAGTTTTCAGGGTTATATAGTCCTTATACTCACTGAGGTGCTTAAAACTCACTAACATATCAAATGCTCCCACCTGGAACTGAAACAGTAGCGAGTAAAATAAAGGCCATTTTCTTCCACTTGACCAAAGGTCTACATCCCTCATAGACCAATCAACTGCGCTTCATTCTGGTTTTGATTTGTCCTGGCCTATTAAGGTGACACACTTAGAGCAATTAGAGAAACACTGTCACCTGCACTGGCCTCCTGTGGACCTCCAGAGATCACTCCTTTTTCTCTCATCAAAGGTGCAAAAGAGGGCCACTGCAGAATTGAGGATATTGCCCGAGTACTAACGGTGCTTTTAATATGTTTATCCAACAAACCAACATCCCAGAGGAAGGAGGAAAAAGCATTTGGCTCCTGCTTTCCCAGACAGCAGAAACAAAAGAGAATGAGAACAGAATGATAACAAAGTGAACCATAAATTCCTCACTGCCAATCGTGTTGGTTTGACATCGCAGATCAGACAGAAAAACTCTACTCAGAAAACATTCATGCTGCAAAGCATCTGTGAACTGCATGTAAACCCATGTAGGTGTGGAACCCCTCCGACTTCAGCTGGGGTTGGTTAAGGGATGGGGGAAAGGAATCCATCTGCTTTCTGTAGTCGGGGTCTAAATCAGTGGCAGAAAACCTGTGGCGTGGAGGCTAAGGTATGGTCAGATCTCCATAAACATAGTCTGATCTCTTCTTTCCTCTGCAATCTTACCCCAAATGAAAGCTCCCACAACTTCTACAGATCTAGAAGAGTTTACTTCAGCTGAACAAGTTCTTCTAATCTACCTAATACACTAAGTTTACAGACGTAATTATTCTTTTATCCATATAAAAATTATTGTGATAATGCTCAAAGGACAGAGCAATTACCAAAAAACGGCCAAACAGAGCAACACCTGACTACTAATACAACAAGGAGATAGAAAGACAATATTGTTACATATTAAGAGTTTTTAATTAAATGACAATTTTTCTATGTTGTACATCAAAGCATCATTTCAGGTTCAAAATTTAAGAGGCAATATTTGTATTTCCAAGACAACAGAACGTGAACGTGCAGTTTCTCAAGCTACAGCTAAGCTGGAAATATGCCACACAAACCAGTTGAAGGCAAAGTGTGAACCTGTCAATGCTTTTGAGTACATTTTTACTATCATCACAAGGAGCCACATCTGTTAAACATGTAAGAAGCCTCTAACTGTACTCTTCAATAGATTCACACATCTGTACACCCAAAACTATACAAAATGAAGTATTAAAAATAGATGTAGCAGTCAAAAAATCATCACATGTATGCAATGGTGAACCTCTTAAAAAGAAAAGCTAAGAAAGTTCTTAGTTTATTAAGCTCCCCAAGGCTTTTCTTCCGGTACAATTCTGGGTGTTCAAATTATATGCCAAAAATAGATTGGTACAAAGAATAAAGCACAAATAATCTAAATACAACACAAGAACAAAAGAAGCAAGTGAGCCCCTGCAAATAATATCTATTCTGTTTGGTCCACGTACAGGAGAAAAGCAGGGATAAGAATTCTTGTTTCACTATGCCCTTCGAGACTTTTGTGGGGCTGCCTTTGGTCTAGTTACAATATAAACACATCTAAGTAGGGAAAATAACTAAAGATATTCAGATTGTTAGCTGTAGATATACACAGACACTATTACAAAGATATATTTCCATTAAGAGTTTTGCAAGAAAGAAACTGAAAATGAGTGGGGCTTAGGATATGCCTTCTTTTCATTCTGTAAGATTAAGTATCTTTAGGCCCATGGAACAGTGTTTTTTGGTTTTCATGCTGTACTTTGAACAAGTTGTTGGACAGTCCATAATTTGTTTAGGTTGAAATGTGGTAAATTCGCAGGATACAGATATAAAAGCTGGAAATAAGAGGCAAGACACTTCAGCGTTCTGCTAGTGCTTTATGATACCTTATTAAAACACCATGAATCTATCCTCTTTTATTTCATGCCTTCCCTCAGTAGGAGCTCCTGGCATCTAATGTACAAGCACATTAGCTTCTTTTGTTTCACAGGAGATAACTAAATCAGGAGATGGTCCGAAGAGTGAGTAATGTCCAAGTTTGTTTCCAAATACTGTATTATGCATAGGCATTTGTGTGTGTTTGTTTATAAAGCAGACCCGTGACTTTCTAAGACTATGATGAGTAGTTTTTTGTTTATGTAAAGCAGGAGCTTCTGCAGCTGTTTCCAGACGAAATTCTGCGAACTGCCGAATACCTAAAATCACAATGTAGATGGTGCACGTACACAAGTCAAAATATACACAAAATGAGTGCAGGTTTGAAGTAATTAAGTATCTCGTTGCTTCCAACCCATATACATTGTTATGCAGATGAGGAAAAGGCTAAATTTTGCAGAAACATGCCAATGTTTGGGGTTTTTTTCTTTTAAACATAAGCTTTATGATGTAATAGATGTTGAAAGGTATCAGAACGCTTGAAGCCCTCACAAGTACGCATTCCTCTGAAGGAAACGAGGGGGTCTTTGGGTTGTCCCAGCACTCATCTTCAATGCGTGTTCCCATTTTCAACAATGTGGAGTTGCATCCCTTGCCTAGGACAATCCCTTGCCTAGGACAGCTAACAGCAAATACTGTCTTTGTGGAAGTGTTAGATCCCCATTCTTGATCATGTTTCTCTCAGACACCTGTTCACATAGTTTCTCAGAAATTTTCACTAGCTGATGTCCTTCTGTTCTTTGGTTCAGAATTGTAGTGGCCGTATTCGGTCCTCACAATCCATGTGATGATAACAGGCATGTTATTTATACCTCCAATTTAAGCTGTCACAAGAAATACATATTTATTTGACAAATCACCCTTAGCAATGATTGCAAGTGATTTGCAATATTCTTGCAGCTGAGCTTCTGCCAGTTCGTTCACCACAGAAGATCATTTGAGAGGTTTACTAAGAGGGGGGTCTCTTTCATTTAAAAATGGATCTTATTCTGAACTGTGGACCTCCTTCCAGTGACGTCAGGCTCCACAGGCAAAGATTGCCAAGCCTCTTGTTAACAAAGTTACCTGATTTCCTTTTCTTAGAGACTGCAAACCATCCCCAGTGCTGTAAGTCAAATTTTATGCCAAAGTCTTCTCCCTAACCTAACTTAAGAATGCGAGAAAGCCATGTCTTTTAAGAACAGGAAGAATTCCCTGTGTAATTGCCTGGTTGAACACTGGGGATTCTCTGACCCTATGTACGATTTAGCAAGTGGATTTTTGCTGGCATCCCTGCCTGAGCACAGAATTCTCCCTATCGCCGGTATTCTTGGCTCAATGAAGATATTTTTTTTAAATGGGAAATTCTCAGGCTAAACAGAAGAGAGTCTGTTCTGAATTTGCAGGCTCTGAAATACACAGCTCCCTGTGACTGGGAGATGCAGAAACGAAGGACCTGGATTTTCCTAGATAAATCTTGATTTGGAGCAGAGGAATAGGTGAATAGAAAGAAAAACATGAGATGGCACCAAACCATGAGAGACTTGTGTCCCATGACTTTGCACTCCAGATCACTGATGGAAGTTAGAGATGCCTTGTGATCACTTTAAACCACCCTGCAACTATAGCATCCTAAATGATCTTCAGGGTCAGCAAATAAGAGGGTTAAACGTTGTCAGGTGTGATGACACTTCCACTCCAAACAAAGAAAACTAGGAAGTGCTTGCTCTAAATTGGGATTTCTTTTTGTGAAAGTAATACAATAGTCTCATTACATTTTAGAATAAATTTAAATTGACTTAATGAATTGCTATGCCAGTAGATGTCATAAAATCCAGTCACAAGTTGGGTATTCAATTTAGGAAGTGAAAGTGAAAAAGGCAAAAATTTCAGAACTACAGACTTTTGCATTTTTGAGATGCTGTAGAAGCCATTAATCTGAACATTTCACTCTATGCTATTAAGCTTCATTAAAGAACAAGTTTACCTTTCATTAAGATAAACTTACAAAATTGTGTTATTTTTCTAGCCAGTTATTTTTAAAAAGTATATGTCAATTATCTCCAACGTCTGAATGAAATAACACAAAAGGTTTAAGTAAAGTATTCCACTACAACCCATAGTAAGAATAGAGTAGTTTATTCAATACCTATGTAATTGCAGGTTCTTACAAGAGACTATTGAAATAGCTTGCATTTTATAATTCCAAGGCAGACTAACACTGTAACACTGGTTTATGCTATAACATCATGTTAGCTCCAGATTTTCTGAAGAAGTCAAAACAAGACCAGAAAATTAATTTTTTCTGGGTTACAGGTAACTGGAAATACAGAGGCAGCTTTGACCTCCTGTTTATCTGTCACTTTGTCCTTCTGAAAATGTGGAAGTCTCTCAGAAAGTTCAACTAAGCAGGATTTCTATCTATTGTTTTGGGTCATCTGGAACTAGTGGGGAATACAGTGCTTTCCCAGCTTAACGTTTTGTTTTTCCATTGCACCCTGAAGCTACACAGTGCACTGCCAAGAGAAAACTAATTCAGCAGTATAAATTAAAAATAGGATTCTCATGACACAAACTGCATAAATATGTTTTACTTGTATAATGATTTTGCAGCAGTGATATGTCTCTCTTATGAAATCTTTCCAAATTGTGAGACATTTCTTATACGGCTAGTATGCAAAGGCAAGCAGAAATAACATGATTAAAATTGTTATTGAAAAATGAATCAGTAATTTTTTTAGGGGAAGGTGTTGCCAACCATTTCTTTGTAATATCCAATTATCCTTGGTTTATTTTTTTCTTTAGAAAAAACACAAGTAGATATTTTCAAGTATGATTTCAATAGTGTAAAAATCAGAACTGTAGTAAGCCTGTAATTTTAAAAAGTTTCACTGATTCACGTCATCCTTGTGCAAGAGTCATAACAATCTTCTCAGTAACGCCCCACTATTATAAATATAACTGAAATAAGATTCTGAAGCAAATATTAGCTTTTCCTTAGTATTTGACAGAAAGGTGGTGTCTTATCACCTTCAAAGCACCAAGGGCAGCAACTACCAAGTTTTTCAGATTCAGACCTGTGGCCGTCCAGAGAGCATCAGGACAGAATAATCAGTTTTTGGGAATCCAGAACAGTATGGGTGGCTGGTAGCAATCTATCCTCAGACAAAGCCCAGCAGTTACAGCAGTTAATTTCCACAATATAACTACTAAGATATTAGAAAAAACTGGTTATTAGAAAGACAAACAGTCAAAAGTCATTGAAAATGGTCTAAGAGCCAGACCATCTATGGAGCTAAGGGATCAAAGACCATAAACCATCAGTTTAAGGAAGAAATAAATTAAAATAACTCTAACCAAGTTTCTTACGTTATCAAAATGGACTTCAAATGAGGCACAAAGATATGAAGTTAGTGAAGTAAAGATGTAGTCTTAATGTATGCATTTATAAGTGGATAATCAGATGATCTAGAAACCCACTCAGTTAATGAGCCCTCAGCCTTGTACAGAGGCCTGAACAGCAGGACGTCTTCTTTCTTGCAGGCCGTCCTGCTCTCAGTTGGGCCTGAGAGTCTCCCTGAGCTGAAACGACTGTTAAACTAAGGGTCTTACGGCCCTTCAAAATACCTTCTTCAAAAACAAATACAACTGGGCCTACCAGCCATTTGAGCTTTTTCTCAGCCCCATTTATTTGAAGTATCCTTTAAGATAGCTATTATCACCCCCAAAATGGATCTACTCAGCACTTAGCCCTGGCTTGACAAATCACTTGGGTCCAATTTATATTTATTTTTCCCACAGAACAAAATGACAGGGGCAACCTGCGAGCACTTTCTCTTAGTTTGCCAGTTTGTCATCTCTGTCCTAGTAAAGCTTGAATAAGAAAATGATCATTCGTAATCATAGATTCATAGAATGGTTTGGGTTGGAAGGGACCCTAAAGATCACCTAGTCCCAACCCCCCTGCCCTGGGCAGGGACACCTCCCACCAGACCAGGTTGCTCAAAGCCCCATCCAGCCTGGCCTTGAACCCCTCCAGGGATGGGGCAGCCACAACTTCTCTGGGCAACCTGTTCCAGTGCCTCACCACCCTCACAGTAAAGAATTTCTTCCTAATATCTAATCTAAGTCTCCCCTCTTTCAGTTTAAACCCCTTACCCCTTGTCGTATTGCTACACTCCCTCACAAAGAGTCCCTCCCCATCTCTCCTGTAGGCCTTCTTGAGGTACTGGAAGGCTGCTATAAGGTCTCCCTGGAGCCTTCTCTTCTCCAGGCTGAACAACCCCAACTCTCTCAGCCAGTCTTCGTAGGATCATCTTTGTGGCTCTCCTCTGCACCCATTCCAACAGGTCAATAATAAAGAACTTTAAAATATATTGGATCGAGTAAACTACTGATAAGAAGTTGAATAAAACCACTCTGTCTCCCAGATCCTTGAGGAAAGAACAACAAGCATGTAGGGAAGAGTACATGTTCTTTCTACAAACACCACTTCTTATCAGGACATAGTGTATTTTGTCTGTAATCCACAAATGGTAATATGACAACAACAGTGAATCAGGGACAAGAAGAGTTAAGTTTGGGTCATGCTTCACTGGGTTTGTTCATGCCTGTCTGTCATGAGCCTGGTCCCTTGCCCTGACACTGAAACCAGGGGCAGAGGGCCCTTAACTGTGCTGGGAAGAAAACCCTCCTGACTCCAAGGAAATAAAAAACCAAGCAGGGAGACAGTTCCAAGTGCTTAAATCATGGGGGGAGGGAGGAGGGGGAATGAAGTGGTTTAACTATTCTAACTTCTAGTGAAGCCACTAAAGCTGAATATCTACAAAACCAAGCCCTACAGAGTAGGAGGAGTGCTCACATAAAAAGATACTGACCTAAATCCTTACCCTATGGGATAGTGAGTAACTCCTGACTTACGAGCTCTTTTCGACTGCTGCAAGAGTTAAGTCCTCTCCCTAGCTCAAAAGGTCTCAAAAATCCAGAGAATTTAGCAAACAGTGAAATGAAAAGAGACCTGCAGCTAACTGAGCAGGTTCACAATCAGAAAGCAATTGTTACATTGTCTGTTACTAGCAGGTGGTTAACCATGGATGTTTATTACTTGACAGCTAGGAAACTCCTTCAATTTCTTTGTAGGTGACCTGTGTTCTTTGTCAATAGCTATTAAAGGCTACTGACACCAACCCAATGTCCATCACAGTTTTGTTTCATAACAAATAGACTAAACCACACATTTGTTGACTTTGACAGATCAGCCACATGAAATTCTTGTATTTAATTACTCATTCTGATTAATCTAAATTTCCTGCCTTAGAAATTTTGTTTGAATTATGCTGGCGATCGAGAGTGCCTACTCATATGCAAACAAACATGTAAGATCTCCAGTCCTGATATTGTTAACAGTGCTGAGGATTCACACTTACCAAAACCACTGTAGTTTGAAACAGGCCTATGTGTGTGAGTGTACAAATTACTCTCCAAAATGGCAACTTATTAGGGAAGACACTTATCTTACCATTTTCTCCTCTTCTCTGCACGCTATTTATTGCTTTGTGTCTTGATCCACTTGGGCACTTGCACATACCTGATTTTGTAGCATTATTCATGACAGCAGCTTGTGTGGCATGAGTTTCCAGGACCATGGTCTTAAGCAGGAAGAACTCCACCTCCACTGAGTCAGCTCACAGTGAGCAAATTCCTTCAGTAAGATGAGAGAGACAGGGAAGAAATTAGAAGAATAGTAACCTGTGAAGTAGCTGTGCTTGAAACAGGTGGATCAAATGACAGGTATCTGATCTCAAAACCTTCCATATTATTCAACAGAATTACACATTTTTATGAAATGCCTAACAGCAGCAAGTCCCCAAGCCCCTAGGCTACAGGTTGACTGCAGTCAACCCTGAAAATGTACTGTGGACTACCCTCTGTCCGTGTTACTGCTTTCTTTTAAAGTGTAAAATCTACAATGTTGTTATAGTTCTGTGGTTCAGACTTTCAAGGCTATGCAAACTCTATTTACAAACTGGCTTTATGTGTTGAAGTAAGAGACGGTCTTTTCCTGGAAAGTAGGGTTTGTGCTTGCTTTGTTTTCCTCAATCCAAACTAGATGAAGTGGATTCATACATCAAGAAAAAATACAACAGAATGAAGACAAAACATCAGAAAAATATAAAAGCGAACGTGTAAGAAAATGACTAAATCTGCAAGATAAAGCTTGTTTTCTCCCCGCATATGGTAAATTCTCTGATGTGCAGGACACCAGGAACAAGCTCCAAGATTTTTCACGCTTTAAGCAAACGGACAAATACCCATCTTTCCATTCACCAACCATTCTACTGCATTTTTAGGCTTTGCTATTCTTTGGCTCCTGCAGCAATGCTAGGAACATTCCCACCTGCAACACAGCTAATAAAGCAGGCAAGGGCTCTGCTCATTCTTACGCACACGCTTAATTTTACAGAGGTGAGAACAGCCCGGGACTGTTACCCACTAGTGGGATCCGTGGAATCACTTATGTCTGTACAATTAAGAGAGCCTAATGCGGAACCTGAGGCTTTTTTTAGTCACACTTTTCCTCAAAATCATTAATAACATCGTAGTGCTGTATAAATACAGAAAAAGAAAAAAGAGAGAGATTATTATAAAAGAGGTGGGGAGGGGAAAAAAAAAGGAGCTTCCTGACAAGCAATCTCTCACTTTTTTTTTTCCCCCTCTTTTAATTTTAAATAAAGCTGTCTGCGAATTTGAGCCTAGGGAGACCTTCATTAAAATCAATTAATCAGTCAGCCTCTCTGCTGAATAGCTTTCTGGAGACAGAAGGGAAAGAAAAAAAAAAAAAAGTCAAACTAGGGCTGGGGCTGGAGGTGTGTGTGGTACTTCTCTAACTCCCCCTTACCTACCCCGGGCCCTCCGCCTCACGCCCCGGCCCTGCCGAACCGGGCAAGTTGGCGACCACCGGGCAAGGGCGGGAAGGATCCGTCCCCTCGCGGGCTGTGACCGGCTGCTCGGGGCCTTGGGGGGTGCCGGAGACCCCGCTGCCCGCCTCAGAGGCCTGCCCGCCCGCAGGTGCCCCCGGCCTGTCACCGGGCAGGTGAGGGCTGGGTCTGGCGGCCTCAGGCAAGGAGCTCCCACCCCTCAGTCTGCTCCCGCCGCGGCACGGCGGAGGTTACGGCCGCGTTCGGAGCCAGCTCCCGGCGGCCCGCACAGCCCCCGGGGCGGGCGCCTCCTTCCCGACCCCGCGAGCAGCCCCCCGGCCCCGCCGCCGCCTGCCAGAGGCTGAGGGGATAAAGTTAGCGGCGGGG